CCATGTGCATCCCTGCTCCTGCCTCCCTTCCCCCATCAGAATTCCCACTCCCCCCACCCCACATGTCTGTGCCTCAGCCCCTCTTCCCCCCTCCTCCTCATTCCCTGCTTCCCGGACACCTGTACCACAAACACCTCTCTGGGTGTCATTCCCGAGGAAAGGCTGGGGATTTGGTGGCTGGCCCTGGATTTATGGGCTGTCCAGAGCCCAAAGGCTCGTTCCCTTCCCGACTCCTAAAAATAGCGTGTGTTTAATGGAGCCGTCACGGAGCACCGGGAATGGGGCTGATGGATGGAGAGGAGCCTTCGCTCCCGGATCCGTGTGGAGAGGGAGGCTCTAAATTTAGAGGGAAAGAGCAATAGGACACCAGGGCATCCCGGTGGGATGGAGTGCTGGGAGCTCATCCAGGCACGGGAATGGGGAATGCAGACCGCTGGAAAACAGCCTGGGAGGGCCTGTGGATGGAGAACCTGGACTGTCCCATCCTCTCTTCCCTCGGGCACCAACACCGGGGTGCGAATAGGAAAGGGAAAAAATCTCATTTGGAATGAGAAAAATATCCCTTTTTGGTTTAAACAGAATGCTGGAATTATATTTCTAAATACCGTTTAGAATTGAATTTAATTCAATTTAATCTTCTTAAATGCAAGATTTATGCACCTCTAATTATTGGCAGTCGGTTTTTTTCCATCATCTATTTTTGACCAACTGCTCCTGAATCACTAGCCCTGGAGCAGGAGGCAGAACAGGCGGCAGCACCACAGAATCCCAGGATCCCTGAGGCTGGAAAAGCCCTCCCAGCCCATGGATCCCCCCTGTGCCCCATCCCCACCTTGTCCGCCAGCCCAGAGCACTGAACAGAACACACAGTCAGGGCAGATGTGGCCTCAGGACTGGAGAGGGCTGGGTTGGTGTTGGTGCCTTCTCCAGCACAGGGACACTTCTCGTGCCAACTTCCTGAGCCAACACACCCACGTAGGTGTCTGGAAAGTACTCTGGCTCCTCCTGACTCAGGGAATTCTGAACTGCCTCATCACCCTGGAAGAGACCCCACGGTCAGCTGATGCTGGGTGGTCTCACCAGCCTGGAGAAAAGGAGGCTCAGGGGGGACCTTCTGGCTCTGCAAGTCCCTGCCAGGAGGGGGGAGCCGGGGGGGGTCGGGCTCTGCTCCCAGGGAACAGGGACAGGACAAGGGGAAACGGCCCTGGAGGTGTCCCAGGCAGGCCTGGCCGTGGCACTCAGTGCTCTGGGCTGGGGGACAAGGTGGGCATGGGGCACAGGGGGGATCCATGGGCTGGGAGGGCTTTTCCAACCTCACTGATTCCATGATTCTGTCTCGCTCTTCTGCAGCTGCTGAATCCCACCCTGGTGCCCAGGGCGGGCTGTGAGCAGGCAGAGCCCCCCCAGTTGGCACTGGGGGTGGGAGCTTTGCTGCCCTGGAAGCAGCACCTCAGCCCTGGGCAGCCCCCCCGGCCTCTCCCTCTGCCCATTGTGGATCCCTCCCACACGTCCTGATCCTGCTCCCAGCACCTGACTCGCAGTGGGCTGATGAGCAGATGCCACCACAATGAAAACCCGGCCCAGGCTCGGTGCCAGGCAGCCAATCTGGCTGGGGGGGCCAGCAGGGAAGGGAAGGGAATTATTTCCAAAGAAATGCTGAACTGTGCTGGGAAGGGGGGGAGGACACACAGTGCTGGGGTCAGAGAGGAGCCTGAAGCTCCTCTCCATGGAGAAGGAGCCAGGGCAGGTGAATTGGGATGGGTCACCTCCATCGCCAGGGGTGCTCCCCACAACCAGTGCTGCTGTGGCAGCAGCAGGTCCTGCTTAGTTTCATAATCCCTGAACCCCAGAGGTTGGAAAAGCCCTCCCAGCCCATGGATCCCCCCTGTGCCCCATCCCCACCTTGTCCCCCAGCCCAGAGCACTGAGTGCCACGGCCAGGCCTGCCTGGGACACCTCCAGGCCTGGGCACTCCAAACCTCCCTGGGCAGCCCCTGCCAAGGTCTCACCACCCTTTCCATGAGGAAATTCCTCCTGAATTTCTTCATGCAGGGATTTACACACATTTGGTGAAACTCTGGCCTGCATAACACGAATTCAGGGAGGAGAGAACTCAGTCAGTCCCTCCTGCATTAGTCCCTCTTGCCCTTAATTTATGAGCTGCATTTGCACTGAAATTAGAGATTTTTTTTCTTATCTATAAGTGAAAAAATGCAAATTAAATGCAAATCTGCCCTTAGGTAACCGCCAGTCAGAGCAGCACCTCTGTGTCTCCTCCCCTGGGGTCTGACCAGCCCCGAAGGGAACACGCAGATCAGCCAGAGCCAGCAGCCTGAGCCAACCAGGGCAGCACAGAAGGGCTGCAGGACGCTATTCCACGGGGATTCATCCACATTTCTGCAACACAGGCATTTCCACAAGTGCCACCCAGGCAGTTGTGCTCGTTCCTGACTGAGCCCAAGGCACTCAGGGCAGGAATTCCTCCCCACCAGCTGTGGCTCCCCAGGCAACTGGAAAGGCTCTCCATGAATTCAGCAGCAGGGCACAATCCCTTGGGAGGAGCCCACAACTCTTCCAGCAGCCCCAAGGAAGTGGGATGGGTGTTCAGTCCATGGCCAGAACATCTGTGGCACATCAATCTGGCCACTGTGGTACCACAGGGGTTTGTTTGCCCAGAGCTCAGAGCAGGAGGAATCGTCCTGTCATGGGAAACGTTAAGGCAAAGGGAATCTGGAAAGAATCTCGAGTCAAGAGTTTTAAATCCACGCTCTGAGAAGGGGAAGGATCAGTAAATCTAACAGATATCAGGTTTATAGCCTGAGCAGCACCTTGGGATATTCATAAAAATGACCTTTACTCTGGACTGCCAGAGGAGCTGCCGGCAGAGCAGAGATTAATCGAGAGGAGGAAAGTTCAGAGAATCCCAGGATGGTCTAGGGGGGAAGGGAACTTAAAGCCCATCCAGTGCCACCCCTGCCATGGGCACTACACTGTACCAAGCCCCGTCCAGCCTGGCCTTGGACACTCCCAGGGATCCAGGGGCAGCCACAGATGCTCTGGGAAATGCATTCCAGCCCCTCCCCACCCTCCCAGCCAGCAATTCCTTCTGGGCTGGATCATGCCCAGCCTCTCACCCACCAACACCCCAAATCCTTCTCCCAGGGCTGCTCCCCATCCATCCCTCACCCAGCCTGGATTTGGGCTTGGACAAGGCCAGGCTGCTCCAAGCCCTGTCCTTCAAAGGAAGAGGACCAAGGCCAAAGGCAGCAGAGCCAGAGGACACCTGCCACAGGCAGCAACACAATGGAGACGGGATCAGGCTTGGAATTAAGTCAGGAAAGTGAAAGGAAAACAAAGAGGATTTTAAAAATGCTGCTGTAGAAGCAGCCAAAGGACCCATTTCAGCTCCTGCATGACAAGTGGTGCCTGTTGGAGGCAGAAGCTGGACAGGGCACCAGGCCCAGGGCATGAGGGGTTATCTGAGCCCTGGCAAGCTGGATCCAGCTCCATCCTTTCCCACTGGCAGCTCTGTGCCCATCAGAGCTCCCGGTCCCCAGCTCAGCTGTGCCCTCGGGGTCTCCACACCAGCTCCTCGTGCTGCCTGCCAATGCCAGGGAGCTCAGGGCTCATCCTGGCTGAGAGCAGGGCATCCTGATTCCCCCTTCTGCCAGGGGACTGGCACCTCACCAGTGCCCAGGGAGGGTTGCAATGGGATGATCCTTAAGGGCCTTTTCCAACCCAACCCAGTCTGGGATCTCTCTCCAGCCACGAGACGGGGGGAGAAGCAGATGAATTTCTTGGAGTGTCAACAAGGAAGGTGTTTTAAGCTGTGGATCATCCCTTCCCACCACTCTTCATGGAATATTCAGAGCTGGAAGGGACCCACAAGGACCATGGATCCAACTCCTGGCCCTGCACAGACACCCCAACAATCCCACCCTGTGCTGAAAGCATCAGAAAATAAACTTTTTTTCAACCCCAATTTGGGAGTTCCAGGTGGTTTTGGGTCCCTTTTCATCCCCAGTTTGGGTGTCCCAGGAGATTTTGGGGACTCTTTTTCCGCTTCACACCCCCAAACCCTTCCCTTTAATTCCTGGGTGAGCTCTGCCTGGCAGGTGAGGGATGTTCCACCATGGAAAACGAGTGGGAGAGACAGTCAGGACCTGCCACAAAAGAGCATTTTGGAAAAAAAATCACCAGGGAATGAGGGTCAGGGGAGGGAGAGGACACAGCTCAGGGTGGAAGGAACCCAAACCAGACAGGTTTATTTTTCCCCAGCTAAAATAAGCAAATGCAGATTTTTCCAGTGCCTCCAACTCATCCCAAACAGCTCTTTGGTCTTAATTACACAGTTACCAAATATTCCTCCAATATTTTAAACCAAATCTGCAGGTTCTTCTCCCAGAATTTCCCTGGACCACGGGCTCAGGGTGACTCTGTAACTAACCCAAAGCAAGAACACGCTCAAAGCACGGGCACCGGTGCCAGTCTGAGCAGAAGGCTGTCCAACAATTGACAAATGATGTCCCCAAAAAATTAATACTCAGATTTAATTTCATCTATTAAAAATACTCCCTGATGATGTTACTGGGAAACTGTGGCTGCCCCTGGATCCCTGGAGGTGTCCAAGGCCAGGTTGGATGGGGTTTGGAGCAACCTGGGCCAGTGGGAGGTGTCCCTGCCCATGGCAGGGGGTGGCTCTGGGTGGGTTTTAAGGTCCTTCCAACCCAAACCATTCCATGACTCTGTGAGTCCTAATCTTTGTTCCTTGAGGGGTTTGTTTATTCCCAGAAGCCTCAGGATCCACATTCCCTACCTGCACAGTTTCTCTGTTGCCAGGAATACCCGACAGGGCCGGGTTTTTTTGTAGCTTTGACTCGAAGCACTCACTCAAAATTCCGCCTGTGTCGTAACTCACTGAAGACAGTCAACTCCATTTACTCCCCTCCATTCCTCTTCTTTATCAAATATAAAAATCTGCCTCCATCCCCATTACCAGGATATCTTAAACCATCATTTTCCACAGCAACATAAAGGTTTATGTTGTTTGTCCTCAGCCCATGCATCACACACCCTTCCCAACCCTCACTTCACTGTTCCCTCAGTCTGTTCTGGCTGGGAAGGGGCTGGAGAACTCCTGAGGGAGCTGGGGGGGCTCATCCTGGAGAAAAGGAGGCTCAGGGGGGACCTTCTGGCTCTGCAAGTCCCTGCCAGGAGGGGGGAGCCGGGGGGGGTCGGGCTCTGCTCCCAAGGAACAGGGACAGGACAAGGGGAAATGGCCTCAAGCTGTGCCAGGGGAGGGGCAGGTTGGATACTGGGGGACAAAAACCAGAAGATGGGCAAAAGCTGAGACCTCCAAACTAAGCAGGGCCAGAAGAAATAAATTTAGAACATAAAGAATCCCAGAACTCCGGAGGTTGGAAATTACTTCCAAGGTCATGGATCCACCCTGTGCCCCATCCCCACCTTGTCCCCCAGCCCAGAGCACTGAGTGCCACGGCCAGGCCTGCCTGGGACACCTCCAGGGCTGGGCACTCCAAAAAACCTCCCTGGGCAGCCCCTGCCAAGGCCTGATAGACCTTTTTTTTTGGTTATTTACTAAAGAAACTCTGTTTAGGCCCCAAAGGTTTCCAGGTTCACCAACAGGAAACACCTAAGGAGACTCTGACGGGGAAGGGAAGAATTTCTTGGGGCGATAACAGAGCTGGACAACAGGACATTTCCCTCCTGAGTCACCAAACCCTGCAGTGACCATGACCTGGAGGGAAGTCCTGAGCCTGAGGCCGCCAAGAGAAGGCCCTGGCTCATTTGGGAACATCAATATGCAGCTCGTGGCCTCTTCCCTCGGAGCAGGAGAATCCTGCAGGTTAAAGGAACGTCCGAATGGCACCTCCAAAATGTCAACCCGAAAGTCGCAGCCTCTGAATTTCAATGAGGAACACAACGAATTCCCTGGGCTGCCTCATCCTTGTCACAGTCACCTTCAATCTGCAACTCCTTCCCAACATCCTGTCTTACCCTGCCCCCTGGCACTGGGAAGCCATTCCCTGTGTCCTGGCACTCCAGGCCCTTTTAAACAGTCTCTCTCCATCTTTCTCATTGGCTCCTTCAGGCACTGCAGGGTTGAAATGAAGTCACTTTAAGACCTTCTCTTTTCCAGGCTGAACAATCCCAATTGTCCCAGCCTGGCTCCATAGCAGAGGGGCTCCATCCCTCTAACCAACTCGGTGGCCTCCTCTTTGGTCTCCTAAAATGTTGGGTGGGGTTCACACCAATATCCAAGCTCTGCTGTCCCGTTACCTCCAGAAGACCCTGATGCTTCAGCAACCTCCTCACCAGAGCAGCAAACACTGACCATGGATCAGTGAGTCTATTTTGGATGTTAATGCACCCAGGACATGCCCTGAGCCCTTGGGATACAACCTGGGACACAACTGCTCCGACACATCCACTGCCCGTCCCAAAGAACGGGTGAACTCAGAGACCGACAGAGATTTAGAGTGAATCTCCAGGGCCATCCAGGGTGAGGGGAGGCCCCTGGGGGTGGAAAAACAGCACTTACCTTGCCGGGAGTCGTACTGTCTCATCTGCACCTCCTCCACACATTCTGCTGGGAACCAGCCAGTCCTGCCCTTCACGGTGCCTTCCCAAAACCCGCCTTCGCCGATGCTCAGCACTGTGGGGAGAGAGAAACGGGTGTGTTAGAGAGGGGATCCCAGGAGAGGGAAGGTTGGAGTGCCCAGGAACATGGAATCATGGAATCAGTGAGGCTGGAAAAGCCCTCCCAGCCCATGGATCCACCCTGTGCCACATCCCCACCTTGTCCCCCAGCCCAGAGCACTGAGTGCCACGGCCAGGCCTGCCTGGGACACCTCCAGGCCTGGGCACTCCAAACCTCCCTGGGCAGCCCCTGCCAAAGGCCTCACCACCCTTGCCAGCAACAAATTCCTCCTCAGGGCCAACCTGAGCCTCCCCTGGCACAGCTTGAGGCCGTTT